TTCCTTCGGGCACCTACTAAGCATCGAGCATTTCTTTTATGTCCTCGGTGAATATGGCAGTCTCTGTCCCCATTGAACCAAACATATTATAATTTTTACTATGAAAAGAGAGAGCAGGAGCTCCTGGGTGGCTCAGTGGTTGAGCATCTGCCTTGGGCCCAGAGCATGATCCCGGGGTTTTGGGATCAAGTCCCAACCCACAGGGAGCCTGCTTCTCCCTCTGCCTGTGTCTCTGCCAATCTCTCAATGTCCCTCATAAATAAATAAAATCTTTAAAAACAAAAACCAGGGACTTTATCACCAAAAGACAGCTACCTATGTGGGCGGCTGGGGGTAGGCAAGAGCTGGTGCGCAGGGCTGAGTCGGGGACCACACCACAGTACAAAGCACTTAGTCTGCCTCGGTTTTTTTCTCCCAGAAAATGAATGTTTACAAGTATGACATGCACTGTCTGCCAAAGGAAGCCTAAAAAGAATAAGCACATTATTGGATATTTTTAGCTTTTCTTTTCATAAATGTTTTGTGTCACTGCTTTCTAAATAATTCCAAATCTTGCAAGTTGGCCAGAAGAAGAAATGGGGTAGAGCATGTATTGTTCATAGAAGAAGGGACTAATTTTCTCTTGAAATTGAGTTCAAGGAATGTCTTTGTGAGTCCTGCGTAAACAAACACAAAATTCCAGTGGATTAATATGTACCGTGTAAGAACAGAATTTATCAGACATGGAGATGAAATGGGCAGATGACCGGGCACCAGGCAAAAGGACTGGTGGGAATGTTTGTATTTGACAATACAGGGATTAAAAATCAGTGCAAGAGTTAGTACAGCCAAAAATCTTTGAGGTTGTAAACCATTATTCTTCTACACAAACACACACCTGTGACTTATCACCAAAGCCTCTAATGGACACACGGAATGAAACAGTGCAACTCATTACTGTTGATTCTAGCAGTAGAACCAAACAGCAAGTTAGAAAAATATTTAAATTATAAGGAGAGTAATCACAGGGCGAACTGGAGACCTGCTATGTGAAGTCTCACAGGCCTGCCTTATTAAACAATTCTTCAGTATAACTTTTTTAGAAGTGTGAGTGGCTCGGAGACAATTTTAAGACTTCTTGACTATTCTGCTAAAGCAAAAAGTGTCTCATTTCCTTGTTCCCATTAACTCATGGTACCATTACTTAACTACCCAAGACTCAGGAAGAAAAGTGTTTACCATAGCTTTGGGGTAAGATTATGCCCCAATAGACGACATTAAATAATTTTGGCCCATTTCTATTCTTGGAAGTCTGAATGTGTAGAAAAGGAGAATTATGAGTTACACAGAACCACCCACATTCTTGGTCCTGCATAAAACAGCAGCAGTGAATTCACAAGCGTGAATTATGGACACTGTAATGAATATATATGCAGATTGGGGGGGTCAGCATTTTAAGGAACTCCTGAATTAGAAATGTCCATATTTGCAAAGAGAAAATCAAATTTTAAAATTTGGGGGTGGGGGGCTGCCTGGGTGGCTCAGTTGGTTAAGCATCCGACTCCTTGATTTGGGCTCAGGGCTGGGAGATAGAGCCCCTGGGGGCTTCCCCTCTGGGCAAGGAGCCTGCTTAAGATTCTATCCCTCAGCCCCCCTCTGTTTGCACACACGTCTGCACACATGGGCGCGCGCACACACACACACGCGTTTTCTCTCAAAAAAAAAAAAAAAAGAAAAAAAACACCTGGCTGAGAATTAAAAAGGAAAAGTGTGTGGGCCCTTTGGTGAATCACTTAACAAGGCCTCACCTTTCAGTAAGTTAATTTTCCAGGGGGTTCTTGGAAGAATCACAAGACAGGGTACATCTGAAAACCTGTAATGCGCCAATTATTATCAAGCCAGGAAAGCATGCATTCATACAACTAATAATCACTGAGCAGTCACTGTGTGTCCGGTACCAGTGGAGGCCCAAGGTACAGCAATAGACAGGACTTCCAAACTGCCACAAAAAGACCACCTCTCATTCCTGTTTATATCCTCCAGACAGGTTTTCAGGCCTTTTCCATTTTTTTTTTTTAAGAGGGTACCAAAATAAGGGAGATAACAATAACATTTTCTTTATATTCATATGATTTTTGTTTTTGTTGGAGACAGAAATTGGGCTAAGTTCCTTTGCCTGGCAAGAGAAGATAAGAGATTCCTCATCCCCCACCCCTTTTTTCTCCATCCTACATTTACCACAAACATCTTGCTTTCTCTGGATACTTTCAGAAGTCCTAGAAACTGAATTTTCCTGGCTTTTTCACCAGGTGGTAAGCACCCCCCAAAAAATTACTATGATCAATAATAGACCTTATGACATCTCCACCTCTCTAGAAAAAGGGGAGGGGATCCCTTGGGTGGCTCAGCAGTTTAGCACCTGCCTTTGGCTGGGGGCGTGATCCTGGAGTCCCAGGATCAAGGCCCCTGTCAGGCTCCCCACATGGAGACTGCTTCTGCCCCTCTCTCTCTCTCTCATGAATGCATAAATAAAATCTTTAAGAAAAAAAAGAAAGGATAAATTTCACCTTATGCTGTCAGAAATGCTTATCTTATTATAATCACCAGCATAATAAAATGAATAAGGCAGGGCACCTGGCTGGCTCAAGATCTCAGGGTCACAAGTTCAAGCCCCACTGGGGGTAGAGATTACTTAAAATAATGATAAAAAGAAAATAAATAAAACAGGCATAACTATTAGCTTAGGTAAGAGAAGTGTTCTATACTTAGAATGTCTGCTTTTAAATTTGCAAGTTTTATACTTCTTTAACTCACAAATCTTATCAAGAATTTAATGCGCTCATTCAGTCACTTTAACCAAAGTGCCCACAAAAATTCAGTTTCAAATACTTCTGCCACCTGGCAATTAAGTCCTGTAACTCAGTACTTTGCGTTATTATGTTAGGAGGGGTAATACACAGGCCATAAAGCTTTGGAATATACGGAACAAGCCCTTTAAGCCAAGAACTAGGTCTTGCTGTCCTGATTTTCACCACAATCCTTGAGTAAATATTACTGTTAGACCTATTCTAAAAGCTAAACAGGTAACATTATTTAATAAAGATGCTAGATTAGTGAGCAGAAACACTGTATATCTAAATGCAAAAAAAGAGATGTCTTTACTTTTCAAAGCACTACAACATTCTCAATTTTTTTTTTTTTTTTTTTTTTTTTATGGAACACCCCATACCTGGAGAATCTGAGAACTAGCAAGTTTTCTGGAGGAGAGCCACCTCTGGAACCCACTTCAAACTAGCACAACCACCTCGGTCAAGTTCTAGTCAAAAGGTGACAGCAGTGTAACCCGCAGGAGAAAATACAAAGGAGAGGAGAGCAAGACAGGGGAGGAGGCCAAGAAAGAAAAAGCCAAGCGAAAGACCCACAAGGAAAAGTAATTCTTCCCTAACCAACAGACACAAAACAGTATTTCTGCCTTCTAAGCCTCAGAGCAAACTCACGCTGTTAAAAGCGCCCTACTGAAAAATCAAGAATCAGCTATGAACCGAATGTTTGCAGATCCTCCTTGTAAAATTCAAACGATGAAACCCTAAAAGCAAAAGGAACTGGAAGCGGCACCTTTGGGCAGAATAAAAGGCCACGAGGGTGGCCTCCCACGATGGGATCAGTGTCTTTTTTTTTTTTTTTTAATTTTCAGGCATTCTTTTTAAGATTTTGTTTCTTATTTATTCAAGAGAGACCCAGAGAAAGAGAGAGAGAGGCAGAGACACAGGCAGAGGGAGAAGCAGGCTCCCTGCAGGGAGCCCGACGTGGGACTCGATCTCTGGACTCCAGGATCAGGCCCTGGGCCAAAGGCAGGGGCTCGACCTCTGAGCCACCCAGGCGTCCCTATCGGTGTCCTTCTAAGAGGAAGAGGCTGGCCCTCTCGCCACGGGCCAGCCCTTGCTTCACCGCCAGCAGCAGCCGCCTCCAAGCAGGAAGCCCAGGCAGGAAGGGGCCCTCGCCCAGACCCCAGCAGCCGGCCGGGCCCCCGGATCCATCTGCAGCCCCCAGGGCTAGTGCTGCAGCCCCCGGCTACGGCCCCGCAGCCCTAACTTAGCGGCCGCTGAGGGCGGCCCAGCGCCCCAGCCGCCCCGGACGGCGCCCCCGCCTCCGGCTTTGGGACTGAGGAGGGTGAAAAGACTAGCATTTCCGAATCCTAAAAAAATAAACTTGACCTCAGAAAGCGGTTGGGGGGTGCGGGGCGGGGAATCCCTGGGTGGCTCAGCGGTTGGGCCCAGGGCAGGATCCTGGGGTCCCGGCACCGAGTCCCACACCGGGCTCCCTGCATGGAGCCTGCTTCTCCTGTGTCTCCCTTACTGTGTCTCTTATGAATAAATAAATAAAAAGAAATCTTAAAAAAAAAAAAAAAAAACTTTCTCAAGTCTCCCAATTTGGGGACGCCCGGGGGGCTCAGCGGCTGAGCAGCTGCCCCCGGCCCAGGGCGTGACCCTGGAGACCCGGCACCGAGTCCCACACCGGGCTCCCTGCAGGGGGCCTGCTTCTCTCTTTATGTGTCTCTCATGAATAAATAAACAAAATATTTTTTAAAAAAGCAAGAAAGCGGCTAAGGTTCAAAGGAGTGGCGAGGAAGCCCCGGCGCTACTCCGCCCCGCGGCCCCAGGCCCCCGCCCCGGTCCCGGGAGCACGTCCGCGGGCAGGGCTGGGGCGCGCGTGGGGGCGCCCGGGGGAGGCTCCGGGCCCGGCGGGGCCGCCGCCGCCAGCCTCCCGCCCCGGCCCCTCCGAGCCGCGCTGCCTCCAAAAAAGGAAGACGCCGGCCTCGCGCCGCGCTCCCGCCGCCGGTGGCCCCCGGCCCGGACCCGGACCCCGACCCCGACCCCGGCCCCGGCCCCGGCCCCGGCCCCCCACGTGCGCGGCCTCCCGGCGCGACCCCGGGCCCCGGGCGGCCCGCCCCCCGCCCCGCCCTGCCCGCGGCAGCCCCGGCGGCCCTCGGGAGCGGGGTCCCCGCCGCGCGGGCCACTCACTTGCTGGCCGGCGCGGGGCTTGCCCTGGGGCGCCCTGCGGAAGAAGGAGGTCCTGGCGGTGAAGAAGAAGTCCTCGGCGTCCTCCTCCAGGCTGCTGTAGCCGCTGCTCATGCTGCTGCCGCCGCCGCGCGCCGGCCGCCGCCCCGGGGCGCAGGCGGCCAAGGCAGGGGGTGCCGCGCCCGCCCGCCCGCCCGCCGCCACCCCCGGGCCGCCGTCCCGCTGCAGCTGCGGCCGCCGCTCACTCCGCCGCCCGCCCCGGGCCGCCGCCGCCGCCGCCGCAGCCGCCTCCGCCCCGGCCCGGGTCCCCGCCCTGGCCACCCGCCCCGGGCCCGCCCCGCCCCGCCCCGCCCCGCCCCGGGGCCCCGCGGGCCCCGCGGGCCGCGCCCGGGAGCCCCGCCCCCGCCGGTGCGCCCCTCCCCTCCGCGGGGGGCCCCGCCCCCCGGGTGCCCTCTTCTCCCCCCGGGGTGCCCCTCCCCTCCCCGGGTGCCCCCTTCTACCCCCCGGGGTGCCTCTCCCTCCCGGGCGCCCCCTTCTCCCTCCAGGTGCCCCCTTCTGCCCCCGGGGTGCCCCTTCTCCCCCCGGGTGCCCCTCCCCCCGGGTGCCCCCTTCTACCCCCCGGGGTGCCTCTCCCTCCCGGGCGCCCCCTTCTCCCTCCCGGGCGCCCCCTTCTGCCCCCGGGGTTCCCCTCCCCCCGGTGCCCCCTTCTCCCCCTGGGGTGCCCCTCCCCTCCCCGGGTGACCCTTCTCCCCCCGGGGTGCCCCTCCCTCCCCCGGGTGCCCCTCCCCTCCCCGGGGTGCCCGTCCCCTCCCACCACGCGGCCGCAGGTGTGGGGGCGCAGCGGGCGGCTCCCCGCCGCGTGGGTGCGAAGCCGGAACGCCCACTCGGGACGCCCGCGTGTGGCCGGGCCGCGCCCCGGGTCGCCCCCAACCTCCCGCGCAGTCCGCGGTGACCCCCGGGGTCTGGGGAGCCTTGGGGAGCCCCGCCCCGCCCGGGCCGCAGCCTCGGCGAGGTGACACCCGGTAGACTTTATTCAAAAGAAAACTTCCTTTCTGGGCGCTGGGCGGACGGGCGGCTCCTGCGGCCTCCCCCGCCGCGGCTCCCGGTCCGATAAGGGACGCCCCAGGTCGCCGGGACCTCGGCGGCCCCCGGTGGAGGCGGCGGGGGGGGGGGTCCGTCCTACGGTTCCGGTATCTATTAAGTACATGTGCGTTTTCAGTGTCCCTCCCACAATCCTACAAGGCAGGGTTTCTGCGTTGGGGTGATGGGTTCAGGGCACTCTATTCCCCGAAAAAAGGCATATTTTCTGAAATCCTACCAGTAGGTTAATCCTTTTATTTTTTTAATCCTCTTTTAGAATGCAAAATTTTCTTCCTAGCCACCTGTGGGGACCATCTTCACCTTGGGGTTATTGAACTGATTTAAATCCTACAAGTTTCCGTGTATGAGTGAGTCGCAGGTAAGCGAAAGGTGAGGAGCGGTCTGTGAAGGTTAACCATAAAGATGCTGGCGGGGGAGAGTGGGCCGTTATTTTAGGAAGCGGTGGCATATTTCACTTTGGGGTGGGTGTGTTTTTGAGTGATATGTTGTTTAGATATAGGGTTTATGTAGGATAGAGGATGTGGGATAGGGAGTAAAATGTGTAGTTTTGTTAGGGGGGGAAAGGTTGACTGTTAATGGGTGAGTAGAAGTTGGGGGGACATGGCGGAATAAATTATTATATTTTGTTGGGAGGGTAGTGGTGAGAATGGGGGGAGTAAGGGGGGGATGGTTGACAAAGGGGCGGTGGTTGAGTAAATGGGAGTGTAAAGGGGGAAGGGGATGGAGAGAGGAGAGGGGAGGGGCAGGGGATATAAGTGGGGGAGGGGATAAAAGGGATGGTGAGAGGGAGAGAGAGATGGTTGGTTGTTTGGGTTTGTTTTTTTGTTTAGGGGTTTTTTTTGTTTAGTTTTTGTTTTTATGTTGGTAGTTGGGAGGAAGATGGGGTATAAATTGATGAGGTGGGGGGGTTTGGTTTGGTGGGGTATTTAAGGGGGGGGTGGGGAGAGATGGGGAGGGGATGGGGGGGGAAGGGGGGAGATGGGGAGGGGTGAAAGGGGGTAAACACATTGGGGGGGGTGAAAGAGGGGGGAGAAGGATGGTAAGAGGAATGAGAGAGGGGGAAGTAAGGTTGTTTGTTTGTTTTGAGGTTTTTTTTTTTTTTTGTTTTTTTGATAGAGGGGATGGGGGGGGTAGGTAATATTGTGGGTGGGGGGGAGGGGTTGAGGGGATTGAAAAAGGGGAATGGAAAGATAGGGAAGTGATGGAAGGGGAAGGGGGGTTATGGTAGTTGAGAAAGTGATTAAGTAAAATGGGTTATTTGAAGGATTTAAGGAAATAAGGAAGATTTAATAAATGATTATTTGATGTGATAGTAAAAAAAAAAAAAAAAATGGTGGGGATAGAGGCTTGCGAGAGGCAGGCCTCGGAGTTACGGCCCATTTTGAAGATGCTGCAACCTTAATGCCTTCTTCCCAGCCCAGCCACACAGCTACTGAATAATTAGAGACCAGGAATTCTAACTCCACATCTTATTACCCAGTCTAAACTGATTCCTGGTGTCATGCACATAACCCAATGTTTTAATTACTTTATGATAGATTTTTGGTTTTTGTTACTACATTCACATAATCTTTATTAAATACCTCCAATTAAATAAATAAATAAATAAATAAATACCTCCAATTTAAGACTAACGTGTAGGTTAAAGATTTTAAGTCACTTATTTTATGGTGGATGGGGACAGGGAAATAACCCAACATTGGCTAATTAAAGTTTCTGCATATTCAGCAGAAAAATATTAAAAGGAAAAATACATTAAAGTGTTTTAAGATTGGGGCACGTGGGTGGCTCAGTGGGTTAAGCAGCTGCCTTCAGCTCAGGTCATGAGCCCAAGGTCCTGGGACAGGCCAGCATCAGACTCCCTGCTCAGAGAGGAGCATGTTTCTTCCTCTCCCTCTGCAACTCCCCCTGCTTGTGCTCTCTCTCTCAAATAAATAAATAAAATCTTTTTAAAAATGACGTGTTTTCTGATCCACAATACCATAAAAAGGATTTTTTTTCATGGTGTCATTTTTAAGTCCCAAAGGACTAGATTTTTATATCTGTCAGCACACCATCAGTATCAGTTATAACAAAGAGGCATAACTGAATAATGAAGTAGAAGCCCTACTTTCAGGCAACAAAAAGTAAAAAACGAAGGAAGGAAGAAAGAATTGGCCTGATTCCCAAAAGCATAATAATCATATTTCTAAATATTTCTGATGGTATTCTTGATTAAAGAATTTATTAAAATTTGGTTCATAGAATTAGAATTTGTAAGAATTCAAAATGTCACATTAAACAACTAGACATTTTTACCATTTAGAATTCAAGGAAGGGGATGGAATAAATAAAATGTATACAACCAAGTTCAGTTTTGAAAGAACTTTCTGTCAAACACAACAGGACTTCTAAGGGGACTCTATTATCATAAATGTTCCAGTAATATTATGAGAGCCTGATGATTTAAATTTATAGACTAGTAAACTTTTATTTCCATGTTAAATGGGGGAATATATTTTAAACAGAATAAGTATAGGCAAAAAATACACAAATGCTTTGCAATTTTAATCATCCTGTACATCAAATCATTTTCCTTCAATCAACGTAAAAGGAGAGGCTTTAGTAACGGTTTAACCCTTCTTGTTCACGCAATAAATCCCTCCAGGAGAGGAAGAGCATGTGACTCTTGATCTCAGGGATTGTGAGTTTAAGCCCCACACTTAGGTTAGAACTTAACAACAACAACAAAAAAAAAACAAGAAACAGGTGAAAAATAATCCTATAAATGTGATTAAATAAGTTCAAATCATTATTCAGATTCTTTAAGCACTATATATCCACAAATAGTGGAAACTCAAATACATATAATCAATGTAGAAAAAAAAGTTTTTGGCACTGCTCACCCTTTAACTAAAATATATTTAAAAGTAAAACTCTTCTTTTGTTAACTTGTCCTAATAAAACACAAGATCATAAAGGAAAAGATTTCTAGATTTGTGTAAACTGCTTGGCAGGGAGTCTGCTTCTCCCTTTCCCCCTGCTCCCCCCACCACAATCATGCTAGCTCACTCTCTCTCCCACTGCGTGGGCCTCGATTTTGTTTATTTGAGAGAGAGAAAGAGAGAAAGAGAGCACGAGTGACCCTGGGATCATGATCTGACCCCAAAGCAGATGCCCAACCGACTGAGCCATCCAGGTACTCCCTAAATAAATGAAATCTTTAAATAATAAACATAATAAAATTTTCACTCAGTCAACAAATATTTAATGAGCACATACTATCTACTAAACACTGACCTCAACACAAAGGCTACATCACTGGATAAAACAGACAAAAATTTTTGTCCTAGTAGGGCATATGCTTTAGCATGGGTTAGAAGGAGACAGGCAAAACAAAAGAAAACAATTACATAGTATGTTCGAAGGTAATAAGTAGTCTTGCATAAATCAAGGACAAAAGATAAAGAATGTTTTATAGAGACTTGTTGTCTAAGCTCTCCCTGAGAAAGTCACCTTTCAGCAAAGCCATATGGGAGTTAAGGGAACTGGCCATGCAGATATCCTTGGGGAAAGTATTTCATGCAGAGAGAACAGCAAGTGCAAAGGCACTGAGAAGGAGTGTGCTGGCATATTTGAATAAGAGCAAAGAAGCCAGTGTGTCTGGGTGGGTGATTGGAGGATAAAGTCATAGGAATTTCGGTACAAAAGGCAACAGGGGGCAGCCCTGGTGGCTCAGTGGTTTAGCGCAGCCTTCAGCCCAGGGCCTGATCCTGGAGACCCAGATCGAGTCCCACATCAGGCTCCCTGCATGGAGCCTGCTTCTCCCTCTGCCTGTGTCTCTGCCTCCCTCTCTCTCTCTGTCTCTCATAAATAAATAAATAATTAAATAAATAAATAAATAAAATCTTAAAAAAAAAAGGCAACAGGGACAGAAAGCTTACTGTTTCTATAATGCCATGAGAACAGGGGTTTTGCTTTTGTTTCTACTTTAAGGAGATTCTGAGCAAACAAACAGCATGATTTGACTTACTTTTTAATTATTTTATATTATTTTATTTTTTAAAAAAACATTTTTTAAAATATTTAAAATATTTTAAAATATTTTA